CGGCACACAGGGCGCCGGGGCTGCTCCCGGGACTGCCGGGCTGCTGGTCCCGAGGCCATGCTGAGGACACAGCCCAGTGTGGCAGGCGGGGCGCGTACTCCGGACCCTGAGCACAGTTCTTCCTGAAGTGCGCTCTTAGGTTCACACCCGCTTCATTCATCCCCGCTCATTCGCAGCATCTGCACCGCCTTAGGCAGCTGGGCTCACGGGCACTGGCACAGAGAGGTAGGCGATGGCCTGGCGACCCAGTGAACTCCCGGGGCGAGGAGGACAGGCAGGGAAGCCGCGTGGGCAGGACTTGGTCACAGACACCGTCGTTCCCTCTCCCTTCCCAGAGGGGCCTCCGAGCTGCGAGACCGCAGGCTGGCAGGAGGGGCAGGCAGGAGCAAAGCTCACATCATCCTCTCTTTAAGAATGAAAATGCAGCTTCACGGCAGTGGGAGCTAATTTGTGTTTCTCTAGTCAATCAGCCAGTACAGCCAGCACAAAAACAAAAACCTCCAGCCAGCCAGCAAGGCTGAGCAGGAGCCGGGCAGGGAGAGCACTCCTCTGTATGGGCCTAAAGGCACCTGGATGGGCGGCCGCAGGCTAGGCATGCACACGCGCGGGGGTGTGTGTGAGTGTGTGTGGGGGTCGTGTTTAAGGGGTGACCTCCTTCTCCCAACTCCAAGCGTCTCCTGTGCAGCCTCTTAGACTCACATGTGGGCATTGGCTTCTCTGAGCCAAGGTGAGCGGGAGCTGAGGTTTCCCCCCACCTCTGAGGGCGTCACGAGCCAGCCAGCTGCACCGGCCAGCCTTGATTTCCCTCCCTGGACATGGGAGAGCGTTACCCTTCCTTCTCCGTCTCACGTTGCCAGCGTGAGGAAGAGTGACAACGTCACTAAAAGAGGTAAACTGGGGAACTGGACTGTCCAGGGCGGGTGAGGGCAGCCCAGGCCCCCAGGGCTGGCTGTGGGAAGCCTCCCAGGGCACAGGAGCCACCGCGTGCTGTGTTCAAGAGCTCAGAGGGGCGCCACCAGCTCCTGCCTCTGCTGCCCGCCTTCCTGCCTCCCTCCCTCCCTCCATCCTTCACCTTTCTCCTTCTTCCTGTGCTCTTTCTTTTACCCCTGCGTCAGTGTGACCATATTTGCTAAATTAAAAGTCGGGACATGGCCTGACCATGGGCAGCACACGTGGAATTCGGGCATTTTCAGCCCCTGGCTCCACGTGCCCTTCTCCTCGTGCTGCACCCCTGCCCTCCATCTGCTCTGGGCTGTAACTCCACAGCCGAGAGACAGTAGTCGGGGTCAGTGTGATGCCAGCTATCCAGATGTTCGGGAAAGTCAGGATGGTGGGCTTAATGTTTGCAGTTTTGTTTATTCCGAGTGCCCCATGGACAAAATTCAGTAGAAATACATAGATGAATAAGTAAAGACAGCTTCCTCGACCCAAGCCGGGAGTGGCTCGGCACCAGATCTTTAGACAAGCGGCGAGACTCTTTCGCCTCTTCTGTGGGCACTGTTTTGGTGGCAGGCTGTGCCGCCTCACACAAGGCAGCCGGGCAGAAGACTTCCGTGGGGAGAGCACTGCAGCTTGGTTTCTGGCCCCACAGGACCTGGGTATTGGTGAGTGCTGACCTTGGTCATGGTCCATCCGTCCGCACACTCACCCGCCGCGCACCGCCCTTCCGCCCCCTCAGCTCCTTCCTGGCCCTCCGCCCGCCCACCTGGCACTGGCCTTGCCCGCTGGGCCTCGAAGAGGAGCGGAGAGAGGCTGTGCGCTCAGCGCTCAGACTGCACGGTCGGCCCTGCTGGGTGCTTCTCCCAGACCCACTCTGGATCCCCTCTCCACCGCCCCTGGCTTCCTGTTTCTCCACCACGTCCTCTGGCGTGCGGAGGACGTGAGAGAAGGAGGGCACGCTGGTGGCCGGCAGATCTCCTCCCAAACGAGTATGAGTGGCTCAAAAGAAAGCTCTGTGTGTAGCATTTTGAGCAGTGTCCTTTACTTTCCCAGAAGAACTCTTATTGAATGTCTCTCTACAACACGGCAGCCCTCCTGCCAGGGTGCCCAGCAGCCCGCAGCTGAGTGAGCCTGGCTCCCTTCCCGGTGTCCTCCCTCGCCTCTCCACCCCGGGTGGGAGCAGGTGGATCAGAGGCCGAACCACTTGTTAATTCCAGCTCTGGCTGGAAGCTGACCAGGTGGGAGAGGGTAGCGGAGTGGAGGAAGGCCCATGGCTTCTGGAGCTTAATTAAACATTTTTACAAAGTCCAGCCCGGGTTAACCAGCAGTGTACAATGAGACAGAAGCAGTACTGCGTTAGAAGATTAATAAACCAATTAAGGAACGACTGCAGCGGCCTGGTGGCCCCACTGGAGCAGGAGGCGAGTTTGACAGCTGCTCTTTCCTGATGATTGCCACGAATTTCAGAAGTGAAGACAGCCCGGGCTTTCCCGTTCCATAAGAGAATACCCCAGGCTGCTGTCCTGTCTAATCACTCACACAGCTAGTCAAATTGTTCTCCAAGCCTGGGGGGCAGATGTCATGTTTAGCCAACTGGGAAGAAAAGAAAACAAAAACTATTTCTCCTCCTCTGATCCAAAACAAAAACAAAACAAAGCAGCACACCCTGTGAGTCTGCCTACCTCTCCCTTCCCAGGGCTGCAGGGTGGGGTGGCAGCGGGTGGGGGACTTCCTGAGCTCTGGGCTGGCCCTCCAGGGTCAAATCAGCGCCTGGAGTTCCCCGCGCTTTCCCTCTGGCCTGGGTGACTCTCTCTGCCCGCGGCCTGGGGCACAGCTCACAGACAGGGCCTGTGCCCAGTCTGGCGAAGCCCACCCAGTGAGGCAGAGAAGCAGCTGCCCTGTGTGTAGGGCGCGGTGCTCTGGGCCCTCGCTCTTCTCCCGGCAGTCTTGTCTGCTGCAGGAACTGCTCAGAACCGAGACGGAGGGGTGGGAATCAGGCGTCCACTTCCAGGCCTCTGCTCAGCGATGGCCCACACTGCCGGTTAGGTCTCCCGGCCCTGCTGGGACCTAGGGCGGGGCCCTGTGCGGCCTCAGCCACCGGGCCCGGTGCCCACAGTTGTGAGGCTGCTCCAGCCGGGGCCTGGGCAATACAGATGGGCCCAGCAGCCTCTGGAAAGTTCTGGGGAGCTCAGCTTCCTCGAGGGTTGGTTGAAATGTAACAAAGCTGATTCTGCTCACTCCCTGTGTCTGGTGTGTACTAAACGCTCAGTATCATCATCATAATCTGAATACATTAGAATATATATTTATATAAAGCCTCCTGCGCATGAAACATCCCATACGAGACAGGTGCTCGCGAAGCAAAGGCCTCCGCCCCTTCCTTCCCGGGGGAGTAAAGCTTCGGCTGCTGAGTTTCCTCGGATGCCCACTGTGGTCGGGAAACTCACACAAGCGGTGCACACTCCAGTCTGCAGCGTTTCTCCAGGAGAAAGCAGAGCTCCTGAGGGCAAGACGGGGAGACTGAGGAGAGGAGCAGAGCCCACGGGAATCGGGGCACAGCACTGGCTACCAGGCAGCCCCTCTGAGCACCACAGATCCACGCTGCACCCCGAATTCTCCAAGTTAACATTCACGATTTTCTCCACAAGCAGAAATCACTCCAAAGGTTACAATTCAGGGTCTTATAAATACCAACCCTGAAATGAAGCCTTTGTCCCTTATCAAAGTCCCTGGTGGAGTCTGACCACTGCGACACCACGGCTGTCTGCAGATGTTTCAGAACCATGCCAACCAGTTTCTCTACCGTCGGGAGAATAAATGCAATGAATTTTATCAATGCTAAATTAAACAATAGTAAAAATGTATCGGGACTAAATCTTAATGAGATTAGCGTGATGCTAAATATTTCTTTGCGCTGGAACAAGAGTGTAGCAACAATGGTATTCTGTAGTGAAATTTATTTTGCTTTATAGATGTGCATTCTGGCAAACCTTACATGAGCGAGCTGATGGGGATGGAGCGGGTTTTATCAGGGGAACTTTGTAAGTTGTTGGAGCTCTGAGCTCAGGTGCCGCCCAGCACACAGTGACACAGCAGCCCATCCTTGAAAATCATTTTCCTCCTTCAGTTTTGTTGAAATGGAAAATTCTTCCTGAGGGATTTGTCACCCATAATCAGAACCAATCCCTTTCTTAATTTCTGGGGTACCAAAAACTGTCCCAAAATTTTTTCAGTGACTCTTAATTCTCTCTCTCTGTTTCTGTCTCTCTTGGTCTCTGTCTCTCACTTAGAGGCAACATGCTTGTTTCAATCTATTAAGAAAAGGGAGGGAAATTAAAATGTGAGTTTCAATATACTCTTCCCCTATGCAAGTTTTAAAAAATAAAATGCCTTGGGCCGGGGATTTAGCTCAGTGGCACTGTGTCTGCCTTGAAAGTGTGAGGTCCCAAGTTCAATCTCTGGTACCAAGAAAAAAAAAAAGCCTTTATTTTATTATATGCTTTCACAAATCATTTTTGTTAAAACCTCTAGACTCAGATTTACTAATTTAATTTATGAAAAAATGCTGAGTGCATAATCTATTTAGCAAAGCAGACTTACTTTCTGTAAGAAAAATTCTGACTTAAAGTCAAATCAACATTACAAAATATGCTTTGAGGACCAGTATAAAAACTGCTGTAAGAAGGATTACTTCTAATCTTGTATAAAAGATTTACTGAAAGGAGTCAACACCAAAATCACCAAGGGTATGATAGGATTAGTCTATTTTTTATAGTAAATTGTGAAAACAGGAATACATCTGTTTGCTTTTTCTCATACCTAATTTGTCACAAGTAAATGTTATGTGCAGCAAAAACTCTAAGTTATTTATTACACAAAAGCATGACAAAAACTGTTTCATTCTAGTAAACATGCTTGTGCGTGTCTCATGAACTTTAGAATTGGCTTTGGGAATAATTAAGTAAAAATCTTGTATAAAAACACAGAAGTAAGTGCTTTAATTTGATTAGACATCGGAATAAACTCCTCAACTTATTAAGGGAAGGGAAAGAGATACATGGCTGGAAATGAACTGGTCCGGAAGCTGGCGTTTAATCCCTCTTCCCACATTTAATTTTGTTCTTGATTAATGGAGAGGACGTGTAAGAGGGACACATTTTAAACATTTTATAAGATTAAATGGTCTCAGGGTTGATTGTAACTACAGTATGAATCTCATTATATATTTGATAAAATAGGTTTTAATTACCTATTGAATAATGCACACTGCATTCAAAAGAAATCACAGAAAAATCTCATCTCTGGGTTTTACACAGTACAACTTGAGTATGTGGGTGGCCCCACAATAGCCCTTGCAGCATCGGTGTTTGCCTGTAATCTCAGACCTCCAGAGGCTGAGGCAGGAGGGTCGCTGTGAGTGCCCACCGTCTTTCTGACCTGCACCCTGTTAGCACAGCCGGGCCAGCCCGTGTTGCCTCTCCTCCTCCACAGCTTTTCCTTCCCAGATGTCCCGTTCCGGAGCACTGCCTTGGGGCTCTGCCACACATAACCAATGTAAGCAGGGCGAGTGGATGACTCTGGAGCCGCTGGGATTGACGCATGTGTCCCAGTGTCCCATGCAGGCGTCAGGCGGCCTGCGCCGGGGCAGGTGAGAGGTCCAGGGTGCAAAGCTGGAGGAGGGGCCCGCTCCTCCCGGCTCGTCTTCCTCTAGTCCCAGCCTCGGAGGACTTCCCATCGGGGAAGTCTTGGGATCCTGGGACGTTTTTCTTTCTTCCTTGTGTTCCTTTCTTTTTCCGCCTTCTTTGATTTAAATACAGCATCTATGATTCCATTTCTCTCTTCTCGGTATGTTTGTTTATTTCTTTAAAAGAAAAACACAGAGTGGTTATCCTAGAGGGTGCGCTATGCATTTACACGGAACCTGACTCCCAGCCCTGCTTCTCAGTGAGCTTTGTGCGCTGAAGGACTCGCCAGCTAATGGGTCTTCAAGTGAGGAAACCTCCTTGGGATCCCGGAACCGGCCAGGCCCGCCACGCCGGGATGGGTTCGGCCACGTGCGGGAGTTCGGGGAGAGGCAGCCCCGCCGGAGAAGGTGCACAGCCCCATCCCAGGCCAGCTCGGGGAGATCTTGGTTTTGCTCCCAGTGCCGAAGCCCAGCGAGGGGCCGCAAGAGCATGCGCAGTCAGCTGCTATTGCCGCCGAGGTCCTGAGCCTGGCAAAGGGGAGAACCGGGTCGGGAGGGAGAGGACGCACCTGGATTGCTTTGGATTTGGGTCGTTCCCGAACTTACATCTCCAAGGCTCCAGCAACTAAGTGGAAAAGGAAACATTAACGTGGTCGTGCTGTCACATCTGATATTAAACATTTGATTGATATTTTGGACTAAACTGCTGTGGTGTTTGGTATTCTGGAGTTCCAATAAGAGGAAGTTTATACACTTGTGTCAAAGATGCCAAGTAAAAGCACTGAACAATATGAGTTTCATGAAATATTGAAAGATGCTGCATGTATCTGCGCTGGGAGACCTGGGTTTGTGGTGCAGAAGCGGGGGTGGGGGACCCAGGCCCTGATGCGCTGGAGAAACAAAGGGAACAGATTGCTTTGCTCGGAAATTGTAATATGGGCAAGTGTGCCATGGGCACCTTAGCAGGTGAGGTGGGAAAACTGTGCTTCAGTATTTCCCGAATTTATTTGAATGGGGCCCCCTTGTCAAGCACCCTCCAGCGTGCTGCTTAAAAAATAAGGACTGTATGTTTTTCTCACGTGCAGGAGATGTTCAGGTAGGCGGCCCAGGAGCCGTGGCCTCTGCTGTGGCCGGCAGGGCTCCTCCCATCTCTCTGACCAGTGTGGGCAGCTCACTCTCTGTGCTGCATGGCTCTGGGTGGCTGAGGAGGGGCCAACACTGGCCTGTCTGGAGCAGGAGAGCCCGGGAGGCCCTGCTCTGTGACGACTTCTTACAAGTCACTGGTCACAGCCAGTTTTCACAGAGGCGGTAAATGAAGGCCTGGACCTCAGCACACGCTGCCCTGAGTTAAACCAACTTTATAAAGAAAAGCAAGTGGGAGGGAGGGTGTCGGGCGATGTTTCTGCCTAAGGTTTCAAGGAAGTCCTGTTAACTCTGCCCATCTGCCTCATTGAGCATGCTCACCCAGGAGGTGGGCCCTACTCTGCAGATCTCTGTACAACATGCTTCCATTCCCGTCTGGGGCTCAGACTGTGGTGTATGAACTCCTCTGAACCCACCGGTGTGATAAACTTGGTTCCCTCCATCCCTCTCTAAGTGCTGCCCTCCGTTTCTTCATCTCCAGAGACCTTCAGATAGCTGTCACACTTGGCTGTAACAGTATTGTTTGGAGGTCCTGTTTCATCTCCCATATCATCCCTGTATTGTCCCCACTTCCATCAGAACAGGGGGTAGGCAAGGTGGCCTTCCTGGGGGCCATTGTCCCTTCATCAGAGCCAGGCAGCTGGGCGTTGGTCTTCCAGAAAGGGTTCTAGAGTGCACCAGTCTCCCTGGCTTGGAGTCCACCTTTAGCACCATCCCTTATGGGAGGGGGGGGCACAGGAGATTCTGTGTGAGGCTTGGCAGCAGGGGTCAGGCCCATAACAGTCAAGGGGAACAGCACATATCAGCCTGGGCCAGAGCTCTTGATAGAACTCTTTCTTCTCTCAACTGGGATCCTCAGCCAGCAGCCCCAGAGGGAACAATTAGGTTGTTTATCCAAACCTCAGCCACTTTGCTATGTAATTGATTTTTCATTGAATGTATTTAGGAAATGGTTATTTACATGAATACAGGCACACCAGGGACTGTAGCTTCTGATCACAGAAAGTGGGCAAGATGGAGATCAAAGGCCCTGGTGGAGGAGGAGCAGGCTGGGCTCCTGGGCTGAGGCTCTGATTCCACACTGCTCTGTGTTTAGGTAAGTTGTTAACCCTCTGAGCCCTGGGCTTTTTAGACAGGGAAGGGAAATTGACTTCCTGGGTAGGGTTGCTGCGAGGATTAAACCAACAGCGCTCCTAAGATGCTAAGAGTCAGATGTAAGGTGTAAAGTGTGATGGAAAATACAGCAGACATACAGTAAACTAAAACAATTACCCCAATAGAAACCACATGGCTACTAACCCTCCTTAAATCCTCTCCTTCACCTTGAACACACTTTGTTCCTGCCACTTTGAGGCATTTGCTTCCTGAGGTCTTTAGTTCCTGTCCTGGCTGCTTCCAGGTCCTCAATTGACTCAAATTGTTTACCTTTCAAGGTCATTTTGACTTTGGGAAAGAGCCACAAACTGCTTGGTGCTTGAATAAGGTGGACGAGGACACATCACCATTTTTGGGGCCGCCTGTGTGTTAGATGGAACCGGGCAGCAGCGTTTGCGTTTCTGATCACACATCGTGAAAACGCTCATGAAGGCAGACTTCCAGAACTTCTTCAGAAAATGGCAAGAAGCTGGGTGTGGTATCCCACACCTGTAATTCCAGCTCTTAGGAGGCAGAGGCAGGAGGATTGCCACATATGACACGAGCCTGTGCTACATAGTGAGTTCAAGGCCAGCCTGAACTAAATAGCAAGATTGTGTCTCAAAAAACTTAAAAAAAAAAGTGTCATGAACAATGTGTGTTCAAAGTTTCAAACTGAGACGTATTTTGAGGAGGATTAATGATAATGTGTCTTTTATTGTAGTAAATTTTTAAAAATTGAAATATTCGCTGTATATTTTGATCACACAATGTGTACTCAGTATGTTCTGGCTGGGTTGATACTGCCACTATTATTGCTGTTATTGCCCCCGCTGTTACTATAGACAGATGAGTTAGATAGGAGTACAGGCAGCCAGATAGGGCCAGGTCCTCGAGAGGGTCAGGACAGAGGTGAAACACACCACAGCTGCACCGGAGACACATGGCAAAGGGCCAGGCCTCAAGATAAAGACAAGATGACCAGACCTGCTTACGTCCTCAAAGAATAAACCCTGAGCCTAATGAAGTCTAGATAGACACTGGCCACCCTGTAGGTCACTGAGAACCTCTGGACCCACCACTTCCTAGGAGAATCTTGTTCTTTCCTTCCGCACTTGCTATGCGACTTGTCTCCCAATTGGACACATTTGTAGCCTTACTGGATGTTCATGGCTGTGGCCCACGTTGTACCCACGTGGGTTTCACCCTGTAAAACTCCTCTGTAAAGTGGGGCCCCCAGCTACCCAGTTGGGACTCCTCCTGCCCCTCAGGAGTTATTCTATCAATAAATGTCTTCCTACTCTTAACCTCCGCTGTTCCTAGGATTCATTCTTTGATTCCTAGAGAACATACGGTTAACAGGTGGGGAGGTATAATATTTCATATTCCATCTCGGTATTTATTTCCTGTAACACTGGGAGATCCCCCTGCCCCCAGCCTGCCTGATCCTACCTGGCTCTCAGATCTTAGCCCACGTCCACTTCTTCCCTAGAGTTTCCCGGCACGTCTCCAGTCTCTCTCCAGCTACCACCATCTCTGTGCACATTTATGAGATTGCATCTGTAGCACTGTATTTTCAAACTTAGTTATGGGTCACTGAATTTTATTATTATTTTTCCCTCCCTGGACCAGGAAATAGAAAAGTGTAGTCCATGGGGTCAAAATTGGCTTGTTGCCAGTGTTTGTATAGGATGTGAGTTAAGAATACTTTTCACATCTTTAAATGGTGGAGAAAAAAAGTAGAAGAATATTTCGTACTACAAGAAAACTGTGTGAAATTCAGACTTCAGTATGGACAAATAGTTTCAGTGGAATGCAGCCACAGCCATTTGCCTGCACACTTTCCGTGGTTATTTATTCACTGCAACAGCAGAGAGCATGTTACCCGCAAAGCCAAAGGTGAGTATGCGTTGGCCCTTTCCAGAGAGGTCCGGTTAAGACCCAAAGTCTCACTTTCACTCTGTGGACTGTGAACAGCCGAAGAAAGGGCCTTCATGATGCTGAGTCCTATAGCTCAGCGAGGCTCCAGGAGTGCGACGGAGGAACGAGTCACCCAGGAAGGAACACACCAGGCTAGGTGGTAAACAGACCTTTATTAGTCCGGCCAGACAACACTCCCGGAGCCAAGTAGCTGGCTCACAGAGGAGGCAGCTCAGGGGCTGAGGTCCTTTTTATCGGGGGATAAAAAGGGAGGTTAACATTCTAAGCTTGTAGGCAGGGGACAGAGGTTAATGGTCTGCTGATTTGAGCTAGTGGTCAGCAGTCACGTACTCGGCAGTCACACATCGATGATTAACAGATACCTATAGGGTGTTTCAAAGGCCACCAAGACATTCAAGATGAGCAAACAGTTCGGCAATTAATTTGGGGTCTGTATGTACAGTACAGTTTTTATCTCATAGTCTAGAACCACTAAGTTACACGTTAATCATGATCTGGACTTCAAACAGTACAAGATTGCCTTTAATTCCTAAGCCAGGTTTGAACGAAGGTCGGGGCTACGGCTACAATGGGAGGGGGTTAGAGCACTGGCTCTTAGGCCCCTTTTACTTTGGTCTCACAGTCTGCTGGGCCCTGGATTTAAGCTTCTTAAGGCAGGCAGAGCACACATTCTTGTTTGAATCCCACAGCACAGAGCAGAATGCTTGGAATGTAGCAGGCATCTTAGTCTGTTTTGTGATGCTGTGACAAAAATACCTGAGGCTGGCAAACTTAGGAAACAGACATCTACTTGGTGCGTTATTCGGCTGACTGAGGGGCCCTAACAGTGTGATGACAGCATTCTGGGACCCTAGAATTAGTCACGTGACAGAGGAGAATCAGAAAAGGAGCTGGCTGTGCCAGAAGGGGCCAGGTGTGTGCGACAGCCTCGCTTTACATCAGTGGCTCCTCTCCTGGGAACTGAGCACTCCTGGGAGACCTAGTCCTCTTTGTGGAAGTGGTGTTAGGCTGTCCACAGGGGTGGTGCCCTCGCATCCTGATCACTTCCTAGTGGGCTGCGTCTCAGCACCACTTCAGTGCTGGGACCACACTTCCAGCACAAGAGCCTTCTGGGGACAAACCACATCTGAGCCTCACCAGTTGGGGCACAACTAGTCCTGCCCGTTGTTGATTGCAACCACTCTGTCTTGTGACAGGAGCCTCTCATATGCTCCTCCTCTGCTCCTGTTTCCAACTGAGGGTGAGTGGAAGACTGACTGGCAAGTTATTCCAGTGCAGTTCAACCGTGCAGCATTACAGCCCAATGTGACAGCTACCCAAAGGTCTCTGGAGATGAAAAACCGAGGGCGGCATTTGGAGAGATGGAGGGAACCAAACTTTATAATTCTGGAGCTCGGAGGAGTTCATACTCCAAATTCTGAGCCCCGAACAGAAATGGAAACAACCTTATATAGAGATCTGCAGGATAGATGTGGACCCAAGCGCAGCCGAGCATACTCACAGAAGCAGGAGGTGGAGTTAACAGAACATTCTGGAAACATCGGGTAGGAACACTGTGCAGTGGAACAGTTCCACTGCTTGAACAGAACATCATATGGCAAGAACCTGTGGGTGGGGCGACAAAGACCTGCTCTGTTGCGCAAATTTTCTCATGTAAGCGTTTGTGATGAGCTGCACCTCCGCCATTTCCTCATCGCCTGACACCTGCAGTCCAAAGGGGGAGGTTTAGTTTGGCTCTCGTCTTAGAAGTTTCACTTGTGGCTCAGTCGAGTTGGCACTGTGAAGGGCCTGGGCGAAGGAAAGCTGTTCTCATCATAAGCAGGAAGCAGAGAGAGAAGGGAGGAAGTGAGGAGGGAGCTGCATCTTCCCTCCGGGTCACAGCTCCAGGTCACCACCTCCCCCCGACCAGGCCCAGCCCAAGTGAGTCAGGCACAGCACTGCCGCAGTGGGGCCTCTTCCCGCACACAGGCGTTGGGGCATCCGGATGTGAACTCCGACAAGGTGCTCCGGCGGAGACTGAGGAGAGCAGCCCTGGCTGCGGTGGGGGGCGAGGGAGGGCAGGAGGGGAGGTGTGTGTCAAGCACCGCATGGCACGCTGTTCCCGTCGTGTGCGCTGTCTCATTCCCGGTCGTGTTCTTATCCAACACGTTCATCGAGGGCTCACTGCAGGCGAGGCACTAGGAATGCAGCAGCGGCCAAGGCACTTTCGTCCTTACGGAGTTTACTTTCTATGCGGGGTGGTGGTAGATTTCCAAAAGGGAGTAAGCACAGTATATCAATAAATACGGTATTTAGATGGGACTTTTTTCTTTCTTTTGGACGGGGAAGGGAAGCATTGGAGTTTCCGAGCCAGAAAAAGTATCTGTGGGAAGGTGACTTGAACAAAGACTGGGGTATGAGCCATGCAGGTATCTGGGGAGAAAGATTTTCTAGGCAGAGCAAACAGCAAGGGCAAAGGCCCTGGGGCAGAAGAGAACCTACGTCCACGAACAATAAAAAGAACAATCTGGCTGGATCGTCTGCCCCCTGGCTGATGCCTAGCAGAGCCTTAATAACTTTTCATTAAATGACTTCACCGTGACTTCCAGGCTTGGGCAGAGAAGCAGCCCAGCCCCACCTGCCCATCCACTTGGCCTAGTGCTGAGAGCCAGAGCCTCCGCCTAGGCCCGGCCCAGGGGTCTCTCCTTCCCAACCCTGTCCCCGCCAGACAGGGCCGAATGACAAACATTAATTAAAGTGCGGTGGGGGGGGAAACCACAACTTAATTAGCTCTCACAGTCACATGCTGCCAATTAAGTACCTTGATGGCTGTATTCTCCCGAGCTTAATTAGGTGTCCTCGGTAAATCCAGCCCGGTGCCATGCCTGTCGGTTTCAGAGCCAAATCTTTTCCAGGACTTGGCCTCTCTCGGGAGGAGGCAGGAGCGCTGGCGTCCCGAGAGTATCTCGTGTGTCTGTTGCTTCTCTGAATGCGCTGACAGTGTGTGCGTGGCTGACATCTGCTCTCTGCCCGTGCTGCTTCCACACCTCAGGCTGCAGGACCTTTAGCCCGGGGCCTCCGAGAGAGAGCCTTGCACTGTGCAGTTCTGTCTGTGAGGTGAGTTTGGCCCGGGCTCCAGCCAGCCCGGTACCTGCAGGAGTTGTCCGCAGGCTGGCAGCCCTGTGGTGAAGGCCTAGCTCTTGGCAACTCTGAGTCAGAACCAAGAAGCTGCTCAGACAGCACCAGGCCGGCTGACAGAGTGCATGCACGTGGGGGACAGCACGGGGGCATTGGGCTGGGACGGCAGTGAGGCCAGGAGGCGGTTCCTGAGGAGTGTGGGGTGACCTAGGCTCTCTCCTTTCCCCAGGCCAGCGCTCAGAGGGTGGTCAGCAGCAGGGTGCTGGGGTCCCCGTATCTCCTTCCAGTACCATTTCAAAGTATCGATTTCCATTTTAGAAAAATCAGAAAACAATTCACACGACTGGCATCCGATAAGAGGGTGTGCGTCTTTAGTTTTGCTCTCTTACACACACACATACAATATTAGAATATTGGGCACTTTTCTCATTTACCAATATATTTAAATCTCTCGTGTTGATAAATATGGATTGACATCATCATTTTTAATGGCTCTGTAATAATTTTATTGTGTGAACATAGCATAAATTATTTAACAATTGCCCCTGTTGGAACTTTAAATTTCTTTCCTTTCTTATGCTGCTGTAAGAAGCACCGCTCTGACGGATTATGCAGAGGCCTGTGCACGCTGCCTCCCATTGCCTTGAACATGGTGCTCCCACAGCCGGGGCCACCACAGCGCCTCTAGAGGCCCAGGCCCCACTTGTCCTCCATGGATGCGCACTTCCCACCCAGGCCGCACCAGCGCTGTGATTCTTTTTAATCTTTGCCATCTGAAAAGCAGAAAGGACGCACCATTGTTTCTGTCACATTTCTTTTGTTACCACTGAGGGCGAACACTGTTTACACTTTTCACTTCCATTTGCACCTCTTCTCCGGTGATCCGCTTTTCCCGTCACTGGGCCATTGTGCCTCCGTGGTGTGTGTGTGTGAGCTCCAGGCGTGTCAGCTCCTGGTGTGCGCACGCGTGTGTGTGTGTGAGTTTCTGGGTCTCCGTAACCAATTGCCGCAAGTGGTGGCTTAGAACGACAGGCATTCCTTCTCTCCCCAGCCCGGAGGCCCGAGTCTGAAATGCAGGCCTAGCAGAGCCCTGCTTCCTCCGAGGTCGGTGAAGACGACGCCCCTGGCTTCCGCGAGGTGCAGGACTGGGCCCCACAGCGGCTTCTCTCCAGCCTTCATCTCTGTCCCCAGGCTTCACTGTGACAGGCTGCTGTAGAAATCACTGTGCTGCTCAAAGACCAGCTTTATTTTTATCTTTTTCTGCAGTATTGAAGCTTGAACCCAGGGCCTTTGCACTGAGCTACACCCATGGCTCTTTTTATGTTGAGATGGGGTCTCGCTAAGGTGGTAGGTTTTCCAGGCTGGTCTTGAACTTTCAATCCTCCTGCCTCAGCCTCCCGGTACGCTAGGGTTACAGGCATGTAGCACCAGGCTGGCTTAGAAGCCAGCTTCGGTGGGAAAAGGCGGAAGAGGGC